TAGTAAAGGTAATTTTAATATATTTGATTTAAAAATTCACTATATCAAGGGTTCGCTATATCAAGGTTTGACTATATATAATTATATTATATGCTGATATTTTACATTAGAAATTACTGTAGTAAGGAGACTTATATGTATCAATAATTAACTCCTTGCCCTTCAACACTATATATAATCCAAAGCAGAAGCTTATATCACTATATTGGTATTATATACTAGCTGTTATCTTAATAACTTTAATGCTTTATTAACTTTTCATAGCAGAACTAAAAGCAGAAAAATCAGTTGTTTATTTATTTATAATAAAAGAAGATATGCTACTATTAATATCAATCCTATATGCAACAAAGGACTTAGATGTAGATTTTCATATTTTTTGTTATTTGAACTAGCTTTAATAGTTTTTTATAATTTAAATTATTTCCTTTTGACTCCTCTTATAGATTCTCTTGATCTTACATCACTTTTGATTAAAGTCAACAAATATCCTTTCCAATATTGCATATTTCTTAACTAATACCTCTTACTTTCAGTTTTACACATATGTCTCTTTGACTAATATTAGTACAGTCAAACCTTGATATAGTAAACCCTTGATATAGCGAATTTTTAAATCAAATATATTAAAATTACCTTACTATAGTGAACTGACCAATTAAATTCTCTAAAAAATTCGTTATAAGCTTATAACGAAGTTGATATTTAAATCCTAGAATTCGTTATATCAAGAGTTCACTGTATTTCTTTATTTAGAATTGGAATAGCCTAGATACTTACTAATCCAAATACTTCTTTCATATCTTACAATACGTACTCTTCTAGTTCTTCTTTAAATAAGTTAACTGCAGTAATTGCTATTCTTATTGTAATACCTATAAGCACTGATATTTATATACATACTAACTCTATGATCACAATTTAAAATTTTAAAAAATTATCACATTTTGTCAACCTTACCAATTAACAATCCAACCTTCAAAATTGATTATTAAACCAATTTCTTAAAAAAAACTGAATCTTAGTTTTACTAAAGTACAAGTATATGGGGATTCTGAAAAATATATATAGAGGTCAGAGAAGATCAGCAAAATTTTAGCCTAAAATAAGCAAATGTTTTTACTAAAACCAATACACAAATTTTACTTGTGACTTTAAAAATATTATTAAAATAAGCAAAATTTTTTATGACATATTTAATTAAATATATAATTGCTAATTATTTCCATTTTTGAATCTCCATTATTATCATTGTTTATTGTTTAATTTTCATTATAAATTCATTATTACATTATTTGGTATTTAATAAAAAACTAATTACATCACTATTATTAAAAAATTCATAATAATCTTTAGATGCATTAGACAAAATTAAAAAGTGATGATTAATAATTATATCATCAAATGGTAAATAAAAATAAAGTTAGATAGACACTTATGTGTAATAATAATGCATCCATCTGGAGTAATAGATGTAAATAAATTATTACCTGTAGGTGTAAATATCTTCAATGTAACTTTTGATATGTTTTCAATTTTTGTAATATCACTGATATTATAACTGTGACTACCATATAATTCATAATATAATGCTTGTACTTGACCGACACAAATTTGATTACCATAAAAACAAAGAATAAAATGATTTTGTTCTAAAGAAAATCTTCTAATATATGGGAAGCGGTCAGTAGAAAAGGGGAAATCCAAATTTTGGTCAAAATTTATATTATTAAACCACTTGGCTGATCTTGGTCATGTGTACAAAATTAGCTTAATAATTAAAATTAACAAAAATTTTGGATTTCCCCCTTTTCTACTGACCGCCTCCTATATTATCATTTTCTATATTCAATACTAAATAAAAAAAAATAATTTAAATAAAAAATAAATAAAAATAATAATTTAATAACTTAAAAATAACTTACTTTGTGGAATTATTTTTTGATTTCGTTTTTTTGAAATAAGGTGATGAGATTAACTACTTTTTTTTCTATTATAATTAGCAAGTATTTTAGCCATCGTTTGATGAGCAGATTTCTATCAATTTGCTCTTTGTGAAACAAAATATTCTTCTTGATTATTATCTTTGTAAAATAAGATACAATATGACTAACTTTGTTTGGTTGAATAGTATTTTTATTAGTAATATTTTGGGAACTTGATGTTTTAGTTTGACATAAAATAGGATGACTATTATATGCATCATGCCTTTCATGCTCTTTAATTAAAAAATTAATATCAAGGCCATTTTCTATTGAATATAAAATATTTGAAAATATAGTAAAATAATATATCAATTAATAAATAATTATTAAAAATCATTAAAAATTATTATTTTTAAACTTACTAATTAAACTAGTTATTGAAACACTTTGATTTACCAAATCTGCTTATACCTGATATTCATTAATATCTGTTTCTTCATTTGAATTCTACTCAAAATTTAAAAAATCTGAAACTTCACTTGATGCCTTTTTAACTGTTTCGGAAAATTCAGCTATATCACTATCAATTTCATCAGTTTCAATATTTATAAGTAAAATGATACTTCTAAATCATCAATTAATTCAATAAGAACTATTAGCTGCAATATATCAATTAGTAACCTATCTGGCATTAGCATATTTAAATATTTAGCAAGTTCACAGGTAAGATGACATGATTGTCTAAAAACTTGAAGTATATCTAAGTCATTAAACTATTTTGTTAGATTTAAAATTGTATTAGCGGTCAAATTTTCTTCATTATAATTAAAAATATATCCTAATTTATTATAACAAAAAAATAAATAAAATTATTAAATACTTTACCTTATTGAACAGATTTTTCTTTATTAAATGGTATATTATTATTTTGCAAAGATTTTGAATAGTGCGAAATTTTAGTAGTCATTTGTAATATTTCTGCAAAATCAAAATCTGCACAAATTTGTCATGCTATCCCAAATATATGTTCACAAGCCTCAGAGTCATGCATCCAAGAAATCAAAGGAAAAAGAACCATAGATTCTGATAATGAATTAAAATAGAAAACTTTGTGTTGCTATAAAATTTTTCTGAATAGACATGAAATACAGGTACTTATGTGACATACATTCTATATGATACTGCTAAAATTGTAAAAAAAAATATGCCATCATACACATTCATATTCTTTCAATAGAACATATTTCTCGATTTAAATAATTATCTACAAGTTCACCTAATAAATATAATAAAATTTAAGTAAATTACATAAAAAAGTAAATATTTGCAAAAAAAAAAAAATTTTTTACCTAAAACAAACAGATAAATAAAAAGCTTTCGTATCCTTTTTTTGTTTCATTCTGATTTTCTAAATATTGGGCTAAATTACGAAAACAAAAAGCTCGATATGCTGCTCTATCATCCTGTCTATCTAGTTTTATAACATCATATTTGAATATTACAGAAGTCAGAGAATCAGCTAACTTAAGAAATTGTTCAAAACGTGCTATAGAATTACCAAATGTTAAAACACGTGCTCTAGATATTACAATATTACGAGCTGTTTTTTGCATGTTTTAGATCTTGGATTTTAAGGATTAGACTAATATTCAGAAAAATAGGACGTCTAAAGTTAATATTTAATATATTATCTTTGATTCTTATTTCATCGGTAGTTTAGGTATTTGCAATAATTGATTGCGCTTGAAATTTTGCTGCTGCATCGTCTGATCCAATTGAAATTATATTAAGATTTAATTGCAAACTAATTTAATTGCGAACTAATTTCCAATAATTTTTTGTGAAAATTTGCAATTGTATTTGCAGAATCTACTCCATTATTTGATATAAGTGTGATTATAACTGGAGGAAATTTTGGCAATAATACCTATTAAAAAATACAAGTTATTTAATATTTTTTTTTTAATTAATTATATATGTATTTATTTACCTGTAAAATATAAACTCAGACATTATTTGCAATTGCTTTTTTATCTTTAATTAATGGAATATTATTATACATATGCATTTTAGTTTCATCTTGATATAAGGTTGATCCAATAATACACTCAAGCTGGGCTGAGTAACAGAAATAAAGTTTTAGCTTAGTATTATTAGACATAGTTGCAATTAGACCATTATAATTTATTTTATCCAGAAGCCTTTTAAACGAACTACATTTTCAAAACAAAGATTTGGATTTGTAAGTGTATCACTTGAATTAGCACGTAAATCTCTAAATTTAGAAATTAAATATAAGTTAGTTATAAAAAAATTTACTTATAATAAATATATATAAATAAATATTACCTTATACTTTGAATATTTCGTCCAGCTAAATTTTGCCGAAACAAATCTAATGCATGTGGACTATACATGAAGTCGAAATTAATCATTTTGGTTATCCAAAATGGTCAAAATGGTCAAAATCATTTTGACCATTAGAGGCTAAAGTCGTGAAATAGTCGAAATGACGTCATATCACATAATTTTTTATATTTAGAAAAAACAAAAAACAAAAGATATACAATCTCAATCAATATCGCTCTGATTCGTATGAAACAACTACCATTCGATTCCTCAAAACTAGCAGATCCAATGAGCTAACATTCATTGATTTTGGATCATCCAATCATGAGATACTTGCAATTGTATTATCAGCCGAAATTATAAATCAATAAATTCTACTTTAAATAAAGGAGTCTGAATTTCAAAATACGATCGCAAATATCTCGAGATGGGATGATCTAAATTCAATGAATGTTAGCTCATTGGATTTGCCTAGTTGCGAGGAATCAAATGGTAGTTATTACATACAAATCAATGTGATATTGACCAAGATTGTACATTTTTTGTTTTTTTGTTTTTTCTATATATAAAAAATCATGTGATATGACGTAATTTCGACCATTTCAACTTTTCATTTTGACTTTGA